ATTACTTATAAAATAATTAAAATAATTATTAAATATAATACTTCAATATTTTTTTGTATGTAATTATATCTTCAAAGACAATTTTATTTTATTTTAGAAACATGCGTTTCTGGTAAATCTGATAAACTACAGTGTTGTTTTAATGTGAATTAATGTGTCTCCCAGTGGATGTAAAGTAGTTGTCGTGTGAAGAACCCAGGTGCATGATGGGAGTTTGGAGCGTCTGACCTGTCTTCTATCTTGCTGGAGAGCTGCTGCACAAATGTTTTTTTTTTGTCACCTGAACAACTTTGATAACAACTTTCAACAATTTAATGACACATTTGCATGTTCATGGTTCTTGTACGGTAATTTGATATATTATGATTTAAATAAATTTTTTTTGCATTAAAATTATATATTCATTTTAATATTACATTTTTATGATTTAATCAATTATTAGCTTTTCAACTCACAAAACCCAGTTTGGCAAATCCTGATGTCACACAATTTCACATACTATTTAAAAAATAAACATTAACAATTTAAACAAAATAAACATTAACTAAAACTGAAATTTATTTTATTTCAGCTAGTTGTCAAGGCAACATTTCTCATTTTCATTTAGTTTAATTTGATGTACTAAAGTAACTAAAACCGAAATAAAAAAGAATAAAAACTATAAACATTCACATTCAAATATATAAACATTCAAAATAAAAAAAATAATAAAAACAGCTAACATGTTTGTTGTTTTTATTAGTTATTGTTCAAATTAAAAATCTAAAAATAAAAACTTATTCAAAATGTTAATTAAAAAACTATAATAGTATATCAATGATACTAAAATAACACTGGTTTCTGCACTATATAATATGTACTGTGCATGATATGCGCATTTTCTTTATGTATAGTCACTTATATATGACAAAATGTGCAGTGCGCACTGATATACAATATCCCACAATGCAATGGGCTCGACTTCCATTTCCAGCGTGACGAATGAAATTTAGATCTGCAATTTGGACTGAAAATGCAAAAAACAATATGCATTTTAAAGATTTCTGAGCTTTGCATTGTGGGATTACAGCATTCTAGATGTGCTCTGTTCTGTACTGCATTACTACAGCATTATTAAATGCTGGAATCATTACATTTTTAAAATTTCAGTACCGACTGGCACCGACATACACTACTGCTCAAAAGTTTGGGATCAGTAAGACTTGTAATGTTTTTTAAAGAAGTCTCTTCTGCTCATCAAGGCTGCATTTATTTGATCAAAAATACAGAAAAAAAACATAATCTTGCAAAATGTTATTACAATATAAAATAATGGTTTCTATTTTAATATCCTTTAAAATATAATTTATTTCTGTGATGCAAAGCTGAATTTCCATCATCATTACTCCAGTATAAAGTGTCACATTATCCTTCAGAAATCATTCTAATCGGTCTTTGCTATTCTTATCAATTTAATACATCCTTGCTGAATAAAAGTTTTAATTTCTTTCAAAAAAAGAAAGAATAAACATTTACTGACCCCAAACCTTTGAACGGTAGTGTATATAGTTAGAAAATATTTCTATTTTAAATAAACGCTCTTCTTTTTAACTTTTTATTCATTAAAGAATCCTGAAAAAAGTATCACAGTTTGCAAAGACAAATATTAAGCAGCACAACAGTTTCCAGCACTGATAATAAATCAGCATATGAGAATGATTTCTGAAGATCATGTGACACTGAAGACTGGAGTAATGATGCTGAAAATACAGCTGCGCATCACAGAAATAAATTACAGTTTAACAGATATTCACATAGAAAACATTATTTTATATTGTAATAACATTTTGCAATTTTACTGTTTTTTCTGTATTTTTGATTAAATAAATGCAGCCTTGATGAGCAGAAGAGACGTCTTTAAAACAAATTATAAGTCTTACTGATCCCAAAGTTTTGAGCGGTAGTGTAGGCACTTTTGAAGTATGAGTGGTAGTTAATACAACGCCGTACGTCGTTCTCCAGCAGGTTAAACATGCTCTGCTCCGCGATCTCTTTAGACTCGTCAAATTTCTCCAGCGCTTGTTTGAGTTCATCGTCCATCACTTTCCCCTGACGCTTCTTCTTATAATCGAAGTCCAGACGGCGGCCTTCCATCTTCTTCAGATGATGCTGCGGGAGGAACACACACATTTACACACGTCTGTCTGTCTGTCAGCGTTCAGCTCTCTCACAGCAGCACCAGTCGAACTCACCTGAATCTCTCGGAGATCTTTGTCGTGCAGGTTCTGCAGCGGGTCTATGAAGTTCTGTTTGACGGTTATATCTAAAGCGTCTTTCACCTCACCGAGCTCACGCATGGATTCACCGGCGTCCAGCAGAGCCAGACCTGAGACACACAGATGAACAACAGACTGATAATCTTCTAAAAATAAAACTAATACAAACGTTCAACCTGATTTAAGTTTCACTTAACTAACCATCTGCAACATCGTTTTCTAAAAGTACGTGTTACACAGTAATGCTTCACAACTATTCTGCTCAGCAAGGCTGCATTTATTTGATCAAAAATACAGTATAACTTGTGAAATATTATTAAAATGTCAAATAGCTGTTTTCTGTATGAATATCTGTTAAACAGTAATTTATTTCTGTGATGCGCAGCTGTATTTTCAGCATCATTACTCCAGTCTTCAGTGTCACATGATCTTCAGAAATCATAATAATATGCTGATTTGCTGCTCAACAAACATTTCTGATTATTATGAATCTGAATATTATTATAATATGTTAATATTATTGTTAATTTTTTTATTTATTTAATTTTCATTTTCTTATTGCTTTCGCAGTGCAAAAATACTAATACAGAAAAAAATGTTAAATTATAAGTAAAAACATTGGAAATTAACTGCAAAAAATGCAACTAAATCATATGTCACAAGAATGGTTGATTGAGTGTTGGCCAATTAATATACAGTGTGTGTGTGTGTGTGTGCGTGTGTGTGTGTTTGTGTGTGTGTGTGTGAGTGAGTGAGTGTATGTATGTATGTGTGTGTGTGTGTGTGTGTGAAGGTGTATTTAATTATGTTTTGTGTGTGTGTGTGCGTGCGTGCGTGCGTGCATGCGTGTGTTTGTGTTTGTGTTTGTGTGTGTGTGTGTGTGTGTGTTCATGTGTCTGTGTGTGTGTGTGTGTGTGTGTGTGTGCGTGCGTGCGTGTGTGTGTTTGTGTTTGTGTGTGTGTGTGAATGCACCTTTTCCATTTCTTTGAAATCATCGTCGAGTTTGGTGCCTTCAGCTCCTCCGACCTTCTCACTGACTTTCTACAGGTGGGAAAACACACACAATCACAATGTCATTGTAATTAATTGTAATTACAATTACACAAAACACACACATAATTACAATTACACAAAACACACAATCACAATGTCACTGTTGTGAATAAACTCCAAAGAATGATGATCTTTCTCAGTATTCTTGTCTTGTTTTCCAGTACAAATATCTAAACATCCTTAAATCAAGATTCATTTACTGGAGATGCAAATTATGTGAGATATTATGTCTTATATTATTGTTTTCTGAATTTATTTTTAAGTTTATGATTAAAAAAAAAATTTCTGACCAGTGACAGATATTTGTTTTAGTTTTTCTCAACATTAATTCACTTCATTTTGAATATGTTAAGTAATTTTGCTGCTCAAGTAAATGTATCTTGATTTAATAATTTTTTTAGATGTATGTACTCGAAATGCACACTTATTTACCAGTAAGATTCATTTATAGAAAAACAACTACGTATGTATGTATATATATATATATATATACTATATACAGTATATATATACTGTATGTATATATATATATATATATATATTATACACAACAAATTGGAGCAATAATCAGAGAGAAATAATTCTACAATTAAAATTTGATGTGAAATTAAAATGTTATACAACTATTTAAAACCAATTTAATCATTTTGTTTAGAAAACAAAGCTTAATATCTTAAGTGATTTTACTTCTCAAATAAATGTATCTTAATTTAAGAATTTTTAGACAGATTTAGACATTTGTACTGGAAAACAAGTCAAAAAATATCCTGAACAAGATCACAGTTTCTGCAGTGTGTGGGTCGTGGATTGAATGATTGTAAACTACGGATGCTTCACTAGTAATTCACACTAGTAATTATGGGCTGTTTACTTGTTTTTCTCAAGAGAACCAGTAAAGATCTCCAGAAGCCCATCAGAGAGCGTGAGTTCACTACACAGAAGATAAATGTGATGAAATCCGCTCAAAAACACTAGTTATTCATAAACAGTACTGTGTAGGGTTTGTAGTCATTCTGCTGATATGAATCATACAGTACGAGTATATATGAAGTGAAGGAAGCTCTTGTTTATTCTAGGCTCTGAATATCATGTGAGGATTGTGAAAGTGATGCACGAGAGCCAGTTTCCATAGCAACAGCGACCTGATGATACGCGTTAGACAGAAAATAGAGAAGTACATCCAACATCCGCCTGTCTGTCTGCCTCTCATCACATCATCTGTGTTCATAACTGGACATTTATGAATCCAATCATAAGCATGCAATTTACAGTATAATGCGGAACGCCACATAATTTGGCAAATTTTGGACGAATGTATCAAAAGTTGCAGAATGGACTAGTGTGTGTGTATCTGTAAATGTAAAGTCACACACAACTCTCGACTGTCTCACTATATGAGGACATGAACATAGACTCACTTTACCAGCATTTCACCAAATCATTTGAGAAAAACTATCAGCAGATACACAGAGAAACTCAAAGATCTTCACTACGACCCGCCAAAATAAAAGTTCGGTTTAACTTCAAGAAATCGTGACTGTTTTATAGTAAAATATACTTCTGAAAGTTTGTTTTAAATCATAAATTAAAATATGAAAAATACAATTTCTATAAATAAATAAGAAAATGTGGAGCCCAATTATTGTAAGAAAATTAAATAAATTATTTAATTGCTAAAGGTTTATGAATTCAATTGATTAGACATGGTTTTGTTATTAAAATTTCATTAAATCATTAAAACAAAGTCCAGAAAAACTTAAACTGAAAACACAAATTTTGGTAATAATAAAACAGAATTTGTAAAAAAAAAAAAACATGTAAAAAATGAATTTGGAAAAAAATCTAACAGATTCCGTAGAGTTCAGTCATGAGGAAAACACACAGAAGCGTCTGATTGAGTGATATTTACACAGACAAACTTTACTAGAAAGTGTGTAGTGGTTTTGAGTGCCTGCAGCATATAGAAAACAATCACACACACACTCACACTCACACACAGAGACACACACACAGAGACACACACACACAGAGAGACACACACACACACACACACACACACACACACAGACACACACAAACACACACACACACTCACTCACTCACTCACACACTCACTCACACACACACTCACACAA